TGTTGAAGGATATTCGAACGATCTTTTTTATTTTTTTTTTTTTTTTTTTGGATACGCTTTTGAACAATCAAAGATGTAGAAAGATTGTAAAGTTTTTTAATTAATTTCTTGCATTGCCACTAATTATTGTAAAAATAATTCCATGAATGTTTTCTTACCTCGATCGTTGATATGGTAAGATATAAAGAAGAAAGAAGAAAGATTCTATTCAGGAAGGATAATAATAAAGAAAAATGAGGAAAAGTATAAGAATCGTGGTTTCTAATTTCAACTCAATGTTAGGGATGAATGATCATGTTTCTTTTTAGAGTACACTTTTGAACAATCAAAGATGTACAAAAGATTGTAGGTTTTCTACATTGTTACTAATTATTGTTAAATAATTCTATGAATATTTTCTTATCTAGATCGCTGATATGGTAACGTATAAAGAAAGGATTCCATTCAAGAAGGATAATAATAAAGAAAAAGGAGGAAAGGTATATGAATCGTGGAATAATCGAGACACATCGAACAATTTGCATCGTTGCGGGATAATGAGTGTTACTTTCTGTAGTGGATCGTTGCATTAATGTCACTTATGCTCGAACGATCATGTTTCTTTTTAGGATACGCTTTTGAACAAGATGTAGGAAGATTGTAGAGTTTCTTAATTAATTTTTTGCATTGCTAATTATTGTAAAAATAATTCCATGAATATTTTCTTATCTAGATCGCTGATATGGTAACGTATAAAGAAAGGATTCCATTCAGGAAGGATAATAATAAAGAAAAATGAGGAAAAGTATACGAATCGTGGTTTAGACTTTAGCTCACTGTTAGGGATGAATGATCATGTTTTTTTTTAGGATACTTTTTGAACAATCAAAAATGTAGAAAGATTGTAAATAATTTTTTAATTAATTTCTTACATTGCCACTAATTATTGTAAAAATAATTTTATGAATATTTTTTTATCTCGATATGGTAACGTATAAAGAAAGGATTCCATTCAAGAAGGATCGTGATTTAACTTTAATGTTAGGGATCATGTTTCTTTTAAAGTACACTTTTGAACAATCAAAGATGTACAAAAGAAAGATTTTCTATTGTCACTAATTATTGTAAAAATAATTCTATGAATATTTTCTTACCTCGATTCGAGAAGCTCGATATGGCAACGTATAAAGGATTCCATTCAAAAAAGGATATCGAACAATTTGCATCGTTTTCAATTTTTTCGCGCGCATATTCGAAAACGGGGCGATGATTGAAAAAATATCCGCGTATTTCGCGTAATAAAAATCTGAAAGCAAGATGGTTGAATTGACGCGCAGCGACACGTAAGAATTCTCGGCCTGCCAAGATTGGATAAAAAGAGAGACTGCTTACTACACGGTTAGAGGCGCGTTCTAAAAGCCGCAAATTTCTCCGAGTTGGGAGAAGGGAAAATACGAGGATTTGCCGTGTCCTCGCCTAGCGAGAAGAAGAAACGAGAGGATTTTTTGCAAAAGGCGGCGTTGGTGAGAGCGGTGGTCGGTCGCCGCACGCCAATTAGTATTCCCCCAGTTTTCCCTGGCTGGGCCGCCTCGCCGCTGCCACGCCAACCGCCAACGATTACTTATTCCCTTTGTTGCACCTCGTAATTACGTTTAATTAGTTTCATTACGCGCCGCGTACGCGCAATTCAAATGATTGCCGCGTGGCCGGCAAATCCGTACGCCTCTGGAAAAAAATTTTTTTCTCGAATTAATTCGCCCACCGATCCCCAACATCGATAATTATTCCTTTCGCAAATAACGCTTCGTTCTCCTTTTCGTTCGATCAATAAATTTGATCAAGACAGATTCGATCGAAATTCATCGAAATCTGGATAATATCAATGATGCTTTCATTCTCTAATCTAATTTTTCTAGTAATATTATTTACTTTAACGTTGATTCAGATAGATAGATAGATAGAAATTCGTCGAGATGATTTTTGGAAACGAGAATCGGAACGGTTCTCGAATCTCGAATGGGAAATTTTTTTATTTTTCCTTTCCAAAGCAGAAGCTTTTTTTCTTCAGAAGAAAAACGTATCTTCTGATAGAGGTAAAATTCTAAAAAAAAAGGTACAATTGGCGTCGATTCGAGCGATGGATTTAAGTCGATAACTCGAACGAACAACTATCGGTTTGTACGTATCTATCGTAACTTAAACCCATTACTCGATCCTCGTTTTCTTTATCATTCTTCTCTTCTTTTTTCTTCCCTTCTCGTTTTCATTACGTCTCGACCTCCTTAAACACCACCTTAACTCCGGAACGAAAACGGATGCTTCCCCGATGATTCACGATGCCAGTTTCGAAACTGATGGGCCCGAGAGAAGTGATCTCACCCCGTTCGACCGTGTCACGCGACCGTGCAGAGGTCGTTGATATTCCGGACGGACAGAGGTTTCGTTTGTTTCGTCTCGAGTGGATATAACCTCCACTTCTTCAACTTCGTGGAAAAACCGCGCTTCACCTTTCACGCGAAAAATAAACACACATCCTTCTCCGCCAATTCTTTCTCTCTCCCTCTCTCTTTCTTCCACCTCGCCACTCTCATCTTTGAATCTCTCTTCGACTCGAAAAAAAGAAAAAAATCGTAAATTCATCGTCA